AGTGCAAGATGAGAGCAACCTGTTTTTTTTAATAAATCGTCACTGATGCATATATACGGAGTATCTTATTATGTACATTGGTCATTCATTTAGACTTTTCAATTATTTAAAGAGATAATTTTTCAATAAAACAAATACATCATTTGAAGTATCAGGCATTTGAAAACTGAGACATATAGAAGAAATGGGAGTGACCTTAAATCCGAAAATCAACTAAGCTGCTAAGCAGCAGTGTATCTACATCGAAATCTATGCACGCATACAGATACTTTCAAAGTTAATTTGCATCGGCAGCATCGATATAATATTTTTGCAATGGAGCTACTTCGATCGTTGAGTACTTGAGTTATTGGAATTTTCTGCAACCAAAATTAATTATAAACCATGACTTAAAACGCCATATAAATATTGATTGAAAAAGACACAAAGAGCAAATTGCAACAAATTTCTGTATGGGTAGCACCAGCTTTACTTTACTATATATATAGTACGAAATGGAGGATCTAATTTGTTTTGGAAGAACCATCTAGAACTACATTAATGCTTAGAGACTGGTTAAATGTCATAATTAATTGGCACGTTAAACTAAATAGTGGCTGCCAAACATTATTAATTATCTCATTATCCAAAATGAGGATAATATAACGTCTCTCGTGTATTGAAACACCTATTCGGTTTGATTATTTATTATTTATGATGAGACTGGACTGCCTTAATTGATACGCAGTATATTATTTATCCAACACTTCTTGGAAACATAATTGTTTACCGACATTTAAATGGATATTGCTGCTTGAATTGATTTTTCAATTGTTTTGGCAGACATATTTATGCACGAAGTTACTCAGTATATCTTCTTTGGCAAGCAAACTTTTGGCGGTAACTTCTTTAGCAAGAATCCTTTTGTTATTATATTAAGATAGATGGTCCGCTTTCTTGAAAATTGAAATTACAGTCCAAAAATACTTATTCAATGCTCATTTAATTAGTCTGTACGAATAAGTGATTCTGATGGAATAATTTCTAAGTCACTTTATATAATACTTGAACAATGTTCCTTTATCATATAAATCTAAAGAGGACCAACTATTTTATAAACGTAGCAAAAATTCACAATACATCACTTTTATAATCTTTACAATTATGGATTTTAATCATTAAATGATATAAATCCAAACATAAAAAATTGTTCTTTGATGTATATTAGGTCACACTCAATTCATATTTTATACATATCATCTTAGTACTCAAAAAAGAGAACTAAATAAATAACATTTATATCATCATATTTCCAACACTATCTTCGTCTTCTATCTTATCAATTGCTAACATTTTATTTTTTTTTATTTTTCTCTTTCCCCTTATTTCTTGTTCTATTTGTTGTCTTCCTCTATAAAATTATTGTTTTGATATTTTCTTTTTAATTATTTCAATAAACTATCATCTCTGACTCATCAGTATGCTTATTCTTAAAAAAAATAAAGATGCAAATTGTTTCATCAATATGCTTATTCTTAAAAAAAATAAAGATGCAAATTGTTTCTAAAGATTCTTTTATGGGGTTTTTACTTGAATATTACGGAGTACTAATTTTGAAACAATTCCCCAAAAAGTGACCACTTTTAAAAAGAGACAAAAAAGTGATCAAGAAGATCATATATGTGGAATTAGAAAACATGATGTCACTGCAAAAAATTTATGTCACTGTGTTTGTTTTTTTAACTAATCATTACGTCACTATCAAATTTATGTCACTGTGATTTTATGTCACTATTGAATGTCAATATCGGTTTTTATGTTACTTTTATATGTCACTATCGCTGCCAAACGTGTCACTGTGCCGTTAACCATGTCATTATGCCACCGGAAAATTTTTCCAGCGACTTTTCCGACGACTTTTTCCCGGTAAAATGTTATCATCCTCCGCAATTTCCGTTCAGTGAAACCGCCACCCACCGCCGCAATGGACGAGACACCTACTGCCCCTACCATACCCCGACCCTCCCCTGGTCTCCCTCAGCTACCCAACCCCCTCCGATCCCCAGCCACAGCCTATCCTCACCTGAGCGCCGCCCAGCAAATCCGCACCCAGCCCCACCCAGCGAAGCCGCACCCTAGCCCCTACTCTAAGTTCCCAACTTCGTAGCACCTCTTTTCCACCCCAGTTGTTCCATCGACCAACGCCACCTCCACTACCCCTAAAACCTAACCCAACCACCGTCACAGATCTACATCGTCGCCGCTCCAAGCAAATCTGCAACTTGGAAGTCTGTCGATTCCTGCTATACTCGAACAAAGGTAGAAAAAGAAGAAACAGACATCGAATCTAAGGAAACAAAGTTAGAAAACAATGGCGGTGCCATGGTTTAACAGAGCCGATGTTTGTCCAGTTATCCTCGCCGTCGCCGCTCGTCATCACCGTCGCTGCACCACCCAATTGTCGGTCCCCACTAGCCCCTACCTCCAGACCAGCCCACCAACAGTGTCGTAACTCTAGCGCCAGCCAACCACCACCGCGCCACTGCCTTAAATCACAAACGCTCTGCCGTTGCTGCCCTCGAATTGAACCCTAACAGTTAGATCTGAAATTTGGCGTGGAGCAGGGGAGGGCGACAGATGGGTCATAGACAACTGCTAGTCTGCTATGGTGGTCAACGACGAGGTTGAAGGTGATGGTGAGGTCGGCGGCGTAGCTGAGGGCGGTGGCAACCAGCTCGACGGCGCAACTGAGGGATGCGGCTGGCGTCGAACGAGAAGGAAAGAAAAGCACGCGATGTGCGACTGTTGATTTCTGTGCTTAGGCCGTAGAGCGTGAAGAGGGATACAATTAATCACTTTTTGGTCTTTATTTAAACTAGTATAGTACCCGTGCGATGCACGGGGACAAAAATGTATTTTTTTTGTTTATTGTATATATTATAAGGCACATATATTGAAATATGAATACATACATATATATATATAGAATGTACTACCTCCGTCCCAGGGAGAAGTTCCCAATTTCCTTTTTTGGCAGTCCCAACAAAAAGTTCCCATTTCCTTAAATAGAAAGTTATCCTACATAAAAACAGTGCCAAACAGTGCAAAACAGTGCCAAACAGTGTCGAAACAGTGTCAAACAGTGTCGAAACAGTGCCAAACAGTGTCGAAACAGTGCCAAACAGTAAAATTTACCCCTCAGTAACTTTATTTCCTTAATATGTGTGAAAGTCAACCCGGGAACTTCTCCCTGGGACGGAGGGAGTATCAAACAACAATGAAACACACATAATAAAATAAATAATAATTTGAAACAAATATAAATTGTTGTACAAATGTATTTATGAAACAACACATTAGAACATTGGAGAAAATAACATTTTGAAAAACTTCTAGGTACGTATATAACATTTAGAGCTACACGTACTGTTGGATTGGGCCCTAATAGTTTGGGGGGATGGACATCCAGTTCATTCATTTTTATGAAATATGGACTCCTATATATTTGATCGGCTCATAAAAAAACATTATTATGTTATTACTTTGTATTAGTTAATAATAATTACTACTTCCGTGTCATTTTAACATGTTTTTTTTGTGTTGTCCCAAATTAAGTGTCACATTTCTATTTTTGGAAAAATATGTGGTGCACAATATTTCACTTTATTATATACTCAAATATCAACCACAACTTTTACCTTTTTAACCATTTTATTAATAATTGTGTCAATCTCAAATGAGACGCATAAAATGGGACGAATGTAGTAATAAATTAATAATGATACCAAAACAACATAAATCTGGACTTCTAGGTTTGATCGGCCCATACATTTTGGCCCAATCACTAAAAAACCCTACACATATCTATATCTAAAGTATATACAGTACTCCGTATAAAGCTTATCCATTGCTTCATAACTTCATTCTCCCTCTACACTACCACAACTTCATTCTCACTCTACACTACCGCAGCTCTGGAACTCTCCAGAGTCTGCTACCGTTCTTCACTCATACGCTCTTCCTCACAAACACTCAGCAGTCAGCACAATAGTACTACTGGGAATCGTTGCATCAGTGCATGCCTTGCCGTACTTCGTCTGCGGTCGATGTTCAGGACACCACCGCTGTATCCCCAGGTTCTGCATAATTCATCCTCTTATATATGTTTCATCTCGTATTATCGGACTAATTTAGGTTCTTTGTTTATTGAATATCTATTTGTTTATTTTGTAAGTGAGGATTGTTTGATTTCTTGAATTGTTTTAGTTCTAAGAGCTCAACTTCATTTATGCGATTGTTCAGGACAGGGTCTGCTCAACAAATGCACACAACTTTCCTACTTTCAAATCTGTGGATGAATGTTTCTGACAGCGAGTAAGTCTGGCTGGTTATATCCATTTTTATTTAGTTTTCTGGATGTGATATTCCTTTCCACATTCCAATATATATATATATATATATATATATATATATATATATATATATATATATATATATATATATATATATATATATATATGCAAGTCTTTTTTATTATTCATTCATTGTTAAGTTTTGATGATTTATATTTTCTTATTGATTATATTTTCTGGATGTTATTTCTTTTTTACTTATATGTTATATGTAATGTATGTATTACCTTAAATCTTTTGTCTGTCATTGAAATTTTTATTGATTACCTATTTAACAAACATTTACATTTCAAATCTCCAAGGTTTTAGTAATAATGAAGTTTTTTTTATTAAACATAATAAGTCCTTATAATTTTTCTTTGATTAAATACAACGACTTTTTATCTTTCTCTTTTAGCCAAATACTTTTAAAAAACTGAAAGGTATTATGAAGGCTACTGTTTATATATAAACTCTTTTTATTATCTCATCTAACGCATTTCTAGCATTCCATTATTGTTCCTATTACCTAGTTTTCTATGTTTAGTTTTCTTATTTCAGTTTCCTGTATTTTGAAAAAATAGTTTATAACATTTAATTTACCTTCGTAAAAAAACTAAGGTATACGGATGAACTTCAACATCACTACTTGAAACAGGATTTGGACCTAAAGTTTACAGTCCACTTTAAAAGTAATCTATTGGATATTAAAAACACCAAACAAAATATAAATGATGCCAAAACATCATAACACAGCCCCCAACATTAACCATTCTGCTTTTAGCAATCCAGCTATGCTTCAAATCCTTTCAGCCTTCACATGAATTGCCCTGGTTTTTCATTGAGATCTCATTCTGTGTTTCATCAGCCCTAGCAACCTGTTCATCTCATTTTGTGTTTGAATCCAGATACGTTATTCTGATATTCTCAACCTACTTTCATTGGCTTCATCAGTAACGCTTTCCATATTCTGTTTTTATTAAATAATGTAAATAAGTTTTTAGAGCAAGTAATCTTATCAAAACTAAAAAAACTAACCTCGGACTGGATAGATGTAGCCTCTGAACGCCATTTAATCTTTGAGGTGTTAAGCTCCTGAATCCTGTTGAACAACATTTTCAACCTAGTCGTCTTCAACCCTCTGCAATTGTACTGTAATTTTGTTAAATATTCGGCTAATAATGATATATATCTATCTAACGTTAGAAAATGTGAGAAATATACTGCTGAGTACTCCTGAATTTTGATAGCTTGAACTCGTGTGTTGCAGAATATATATAATGATGCGATGGGGTTGAACTGTCGTAGTTGTGCCATGCCCAGACGTGCATATCGTGTTGTAACTGTCCCACCACTTGATTGGAAGACAATTGAGGAGTTGCAACTTGCAACGTTGCAGTTGAGATTAGCAAAGATAGTGGGTCGTGAATGTTTTTGCATATTTTATATTTATTCTTCTTGGGACATCTGTAATTTTACTTTTAACCATCTTGTGACACGTGTAAATCTCAATGGCCAGATTGTGCAAGTTTGCTTCACGATTGAGCTTTTATATATATAAAGATCACTCATATTTTGGTCCAGTAAAACTCTAGCAATCATATTTGGGCTTTTATTTCTGAAAAATTCCTGAAATAAGAGTAAAAAAGTTTGAAAATTCTAAAATAAGACTGACATATTTATATTTCTAAAATATGAGTAATTACTATCAATTTCGGAAAGAACTGTCGTGTTTAAAGTCCAGAACTGCCAAAACATGACGGTAATTAGTCCTATTTTAGAATATACAAACGTTTTTATTCCTATTTAGGGCAATTTCCCTAGAAAAATGGTTAATCAAATTTTTAAAATGTGAATAAAAAGTACACATTATTTATCCGGGCTAAGACTTTTTTCTCACTTTCATTATTTGAGTGTCCCATTTAAAGGTTTCCATTCAATTTTATGAAATAATTTACACTCTTTAATCACACATTTCTCAAGTTTCTCTGTCATACTCATTGCACGCCAAATCTCACATTTTATCTCCCCCAACATATCTCTCTTTAATTACTTTCACTTTATGAGCCTGTTTGGTAATAGCTAAATCGGTTGTATTGGTTGATTCTGTTGCAGCTGACGAAGTTCTGACTGATATGCTTGTATTGGCTGATTCTGCTGATTTCTGAAAAATAATAATTTAAAATACATTTTATTAATAAAATAAAGAAACAATTATATGAAAAAAAACTAAAATGAGTCTTTACAGTAACTTCAGCCAATACAACCAAAAAAGTGACTCCCACCTTACGTTTTCTTATTATTGCACAATTCAGCCCGTAAAACAAAAAATTACGTGTGTGGTGAAAAGCCAAAAATCATGACTACCAAACGGGCATTTTTTTAATATATATATATATATATATATATATATATATAGAGAGAGAGAGAGAGAGAGAGAGAGAGAGAGAGAGAGCTCTTCTCATCAGGCCGGCCTGACGGGCTGCCTCGTCCGGCCGAGCCCGTTTGGGCACCTTCCCGGTGGAATTTTTTGATTAAATTTTTTGAGCATGTTCCTCATCAAGTCTAGTTTATCCATACCAAATTTCAGCTCAAAATTCGATCGGGAAGGTCGTCAAATGATTTTTGCAAGTTAACTGGTCCGGAAATTGAGCTGTTAACTTGCAAAAATCATTTGACGACCTTCCCGATCGAATTTTGAGCTGAAATTTGGTATGGCGAAACTAGACTTGATGAGGAACATGCTCAAAAAATTTCATCAAAAACTTCCACCGGGAAGGTGCCCAAACGGGCTCGGCCGGACGGGGCAGCCCGTCAGGCCGGCCTGATGAGATGATTTCTCTCTCTATATATATATATATATATATATATATATATATTGATAAATAAAGCAAGTCAGAGTACATGATAAAAAGTAACAATTATTTATAAATTATATATGTTTATTTTTTCTAAATTTTCTCTTTCCTATTTCTTTACCCAAATTACTTTATTTAACTACCTAAAAATTCACGTCATTTACTCACGGGAACCTGCCAACGGGATGGAGGGAGGAGTATATATGAATTCTACGACTGACATTTTTTATGGCATTACTTTAGAGACAAAAAATATTTAAGTGCGACAAATTTTGAAAGTGTGTAGGAAAGTGTAATTTTTTTACTACGTATAAAGTTATATTTTTAATCGTGTCAAAATATAAAAATTAGCGTTGTTAATACAAATTTAATATCAAGAACTACATTTCAACAAGAGTAATTATTAGGCCGTGTATATGTGTATACTAGTATCCTACCCGTGCCGCGCACGGATACAATCATGAAAATTAATGGAAAATTTGAATTAAAATGATTTAAAATTTGGTTTAGATTGTTTTGTTTTATTACTGAAATATTGAATTATTAATTTCAGAAATATAGAGTATTAAAGCATATATAATCCAAAAAAATGTGAACAGTGCATACGTAACATGAGAGATATAAACACATAAAAATCAATAAGTAGAATATCTTTCTTCTTAATTATTTGAAAGTTTTATTTGTTTTTGGTAAGTTTGTTTTTCACAATATTAAGTACATTATTCAAATGAAAACTTGTGGTTGATCTTATTGAGAAAAATTTACCAAAAACGTCTTAGGCCATGGAAAAAAGATAATGAGATAGAGATATCATACGGAGTATACGCATTATGCACATTGTAACATTGGAAATGCTATTAGGAAAGGACGACGTTAGTTGTATGGAAAGGAAACGATAATATACTTCATATTCTAATTGAAAATTACTTTTTAAACATTTTGTTTGGCTAAGAAACATTGTTGAAGTATAGTGAGCACCAAGGTATCCTTTCCTTCGAAATTTAGTACAGTAAATAATGACTTCATTCTATCCTATCTTGCGCACAACCAAATAAAATAAAAGTAATTAACTTAGTTTTTTAAAATACAGAGGGCAACACAGCAAAGAGGGAAAAGAAGAGAAAAAAAACACGAAGGCCGGGTCAAAACAGACTATCATAATGGGGAGATGTCGCGTTCAATTTCAAACAAAAACTTGACCAGAAACCTTGCTCTTTTTCCACCGGTGTGTGATCAAACCCGAGTTTACTTATTTGGCCAAACTTCAATTTACTTATTTGGTCAAGATGAATTTATCTTAGAAATGAACCACCCGTGAACTAACATTGCCTTAATAATATGGAGTATTTCAATTGTCTTTCACCGTGAAACTGTAAAATGGAATCATATTTGTTAGGAGACGTAATTTCTCGAGGGAACATGCATTATAGAATGACGTTAACTGAATTTGGGAATAATGCATTTGATGATAATAAGTTTTCTATTGAAAGATGAATCACACATGATAACACTAAAATAAACGTGCACAATAATAGCTACAATAATAGCTATGATTGAAAGATGCTTTATAGGAAACATATATTTGAAGAGGTGGTTATATGGTGATATTAAACAATATTAATCGTCAGATCCATATAAGCATATTAATATTACCATATAGTATTTCCACCTATCTTCAATATTTTCAATATATAGTAGTAGGTTGAATATTAATATTGAACCATATTAATAGTCCTGAATAATATTAATATTAATATTAATATTAATATTACCATACAATATTATCATCTACCTACAATGTATTTTTATTATTTCTACTTTCTGAGAAATTTAATCATTCTCAAAAATATTTCACATCAATTTCGAGATGTGATCATCAAATATTTAGATGTTCATTTTTTTTTTAAATAAAGATGTTCATTATTAAATGGCTCTAGCATATTGAAGTGAATAGTTTGTTTGTGATTTAATTTTTAATATTTATTATGAATCGTTGAATTTAAAACTAACTCCGAATTGGTACCAATCCTCCAATTTAAAGAATGAAAAATGGAGATTGGTCGAATAGAACTCATATCTAATGAGCATTATTATTTGGTCTAGATGAATCCATCTCAGGGATGATCGAATCATCGAATCACTCCTGAACTAACTTTGCCTTAAAGTGAAATAGCTGACATGAAATTTAGAAGAAGTCATTTCTCGGGGGACATGAATTATAGAATGATAAGTTTATACTAAATTGAATTGTGGGAATAATGCAGTCGATTATAATAAGTTTATATGAAAGAATCTCATATGGTAATACTAAAATAAACGTGCACGGTAATAACTTGGGTTCAGAGCTGATTTGTAAGAAACCTAGGATTGAAGAGGTGGTAAGTTATATGGTGATATTAAACTATATTAATAGTTAGATCCGTATAAGCATATTAATATTATCATATGATATTACCATCTATCTTTAATCGATAGTATATGTTTTCAGGTCTAATATTAATATTAAACCATATTAATAGTCTGTAATAAAAATAATAACATAACCGTACAATAGTATCATCTACCTTTGATGTTACCAATAGTCAATAGGTTTAATATCAACATTTCCTTTTATATTCGAATTCTAAATAACTTGTTGATATTTGAATGCTTAGAGCATCTCCAATGCTATAATGTGCACGATGCACATGTGGCATGAGTGATAGCCACATAAATATTAGCAAATAAATTATTTCTCTCCTTATTTGAATGATTTTATACAATTTTGGTAAATTTTTCCCTGCAATGTCAACAACAATGTCAACATTTAGACGGTCTCCTTGACATTGTGGAGAAAAACTTACCAAAACTGTATAAAATCATTCAAATAAGGAGAGAAAGAATTTAATTACTAATATTTATGTGGCTATTTCTTGTGCCACGTGTGCACATTTTACCATTGGAGATGCTCTTAATCACTTTGAAATTAGGGTTGAAGTGGTAATTATATAGAGCCCGTTTGGTAATTTCCAAATCGGCTGATTCTACTGAAATTTATGAAGTTCTCGCTAAAGTGGCTGAATTAGTTGATTATGTTAATTTATGAAGAAGCAAAAAAAAAAATTTATTAGTAAAGTAATGGAAAAATTATATGTAGTATGTAAAAAATAGTAAAAATGACCCTCTACACTAACTTCAACCAATACGACCAGAAAAATAAATTTAACCTTATTTTTTCTTATGATTACACAATGTAACACGTGAAATCAAAACTTACGCTTTTGGTGAAAAAGGTTGGCTGATAAGCCTGATAAGATGAAAAACAGGTACCAAACCGGCCCATGGTAATGTTATCAAATATTATCATATAATTAATCAAGATCAAGTGGTGATTGGTATTTTTAGTATTTTTAGTACGTAGGTTTAAATATGTGATTTTTTATGGTAATGTGAAACCATATTAATTATTTTATAGGAG